AATTTTCTGCTCTTACCAAACGTTTTTGAAAATCCACAAAAAAAGATCAAAACCTTTTGAAACTGCCAAAAAAGAGCAAAACCTTTTGAAAACCCAAAAACAGCTTTGCACGTTTTTCGCTTTACACTCTTTTGTGTATGGCTATGCATTTATGCTGCTTTTTCATTTTGCTTTCCATATACACCGTCGGTTGGTTGCACCTCGGTTTCACTTTCGCTGGATCCCCGCACGTCAACTGCAAGTGGAACGAACTTCCTGCTCAACCGCACACGTGAACTTTACTAACTGTCCCCCCCACAAACAGTTTTTTTACCGTTTCGACACCGTAGGGAGGACACGGGTGGGAGCCCGCTAGGGTCCGATTGCATGGTTCTCCCCCAGCAGCTGCATCGGGTTTCACAACCTGGTCTCGCAGAAGGCTGGCCCGCGACGGACAGTCCTCACGTAGATCGAAGGACTGCTTACACAGTCCCTTCTGGGAGAGGGCTATGTAGCAGTCTGGAGATTCCCCGGTTTGCCTGTGTAAAATTCTAACCAAAATTCTATAATTGTACACTTAGGCAACCGGTGTGGTTTGTTGAACTGCTTGCTGAGTTCGAATGCTTTACTTGCTCATCGCCATTTTTGCTTGGCGCTCGCTTCGGTTGCAACGCGCGACTGCTCTGTGTGCTGTGTTTGCTCCGTTTCCCTAGCTAGAGCGTCCACGGTGTCGTTCGTTTATAGCTAGCTAACAGGGAATCTTTTGCTGAACCAATAAAAGTTTCCCTGCAACTCGATCTGTCTTCTCGAATCGCTCTCTGGGCTCCCGGAATAGGCAACCCTCTAAATACGATGTCCAAAAGTGTGCTGTCCCGCCATTTCGCATGGCCGGATGCTTTCCACATACTCAGTTCTCATGACAAGCGTCTGATTGGCCATACAACAATTAGGTTGGTGCTTTCTCGGTTGGCGTGTTGTCGACTTGGGCTCAGGCGTAAGCCGTTCGCTCGTTACACGGCCGAACAATCCGCCTCAGATGTCGAAAAGCACACCGTTTCTCCCGTGCGCTGGGCCGTGCCAATCGTGCGCGCTCAACTTTCGTCTGATTGGCTGCCAGTCCATCGGCACCGCGACGATTCCCTTCGTGCATCAGGTGTCATTCGAAAATGATGCAACTCATGGGCATCAATCATCTATTCTCACATTGCCAACGTTATCAGTCAAGGATGCAGCGTCACAAAAACTACACAGCTATACGCATACACAATTAGATAGATATACACACCCCTACACAAACACTTACTGCTACGGCAAACAGGTAATTTTATACAAGGTTGAGCACGCTTTGTTATCTTAATATGATAATGCCTGTAAAGGCATGCATCGCATTGTCGAGAAGAAAAATGTTATTTATTTACATGCAGGTAAACACCTCCGTTGATAAAGTGAATAGGCATTCGTTTTCTGTTAAAAGCAATGTCGGAACCCAGTTTATCAATCAGGACGATGATTTTTCAAGTTACGCGAACGCCTTTTGACAACTTTATCGTTTCGGCAATCAACAAGTGCATTACCAAGCATACAGTAGTTACGGAAATTCGGGAAATTGCAGCCAGGTCATTCAGGTATGAACTATTTATTTGCTTGCATATACTTAGTGTAATGCTGCACTCTCCCCTGTCCCCTGCAGGCTAACCCAGCCGGGAAAGAAAATAGAACACCGAAGCCTACTAGGTAGAAGTGTAGTGTAAACAGAAGACGGTTCATTTTACAGGCCAAATGCTATCATCTCCGGTTACAGGTTGCTGAGCTGACTCACGCCCGTTGACTGGACAGATTCCAAACCTGCAACCGGTCTTCACTGTCTGGCTGTAGTTAAGAGCACGTCCGCACCATAGCAACCCGTGCAATGATGGTGAACTGGCCCCGTCTGCTGCTCAGGATGGCGCGGCAACCTGTGTTGGGATTTGCGAAATGAGTAGGTCATCTTACTGCGTGGTCCACCGTAAGCCTGGCTAGTGTCCAGAAAACGTGTTGCAGCGCTGATCCCTTGTGAAAGATAATAATACTGATTGTCGGGTGTCCAATAGGGACTTGCCTGATGTCTTTGACTTCCGATCTGGAAAGTCGGTCGGTCCAGATTGCGCAGGTACTCCGTATGGTAAGAAGCCACAAAATTGTCAACGATGGATATCGACTTCAGTCGTGTGACGGCTTTCGTGTCCTATGGCGCAAGATATACTGCGGCGTGCTACCAAAATGTCATTAAGCCTGTTTGTGAGTAAGCAATTGGTATGAGAAGTACTACTCATTGCATCAATTTGATTGCATATACTCTTTGTTAATTCTCTCCGGAAGTCGACGGATTCTTTGTGAGAATGAGAAGCGCTCTCCGTTTCTCGGGAAGAGAGATGCGGGCTTACATTGAGTATCTAATTCAGGAAGGCGTGGATAACCGGACCGACCCAGTTGTACCAGTCATCACCTGCTGGAAGCTGTCGCCAATTACAGCAAAGATTTTCATTATTACCCAGCCAAGTGGTAAGCTGCACAACACGAGGCTCAGCTGGTATTTGTAGACTTTCTAACCAACGAAACAAAACAGGAAGTTTCGAAGTGGCAAGTGAATAGCATTTGGACAGTTGGCAGGAAAATTACCGGTCACTTTTAAACTGCCGAATCACAGTCTCCGGTTACCCATAAGATTTACAGCGACCTCTCCAGTCTACCCATATCGCAGAAAACCAGCTGTGGCATTTGATGCTTCTAGCAAAATACAAGGCGACATACAACTATGCTTCTTCCAAGCTGCCAAAAATTCCAACAGTTGCTGACAGCAGAGGCTAACTGGCAATTGTTGTAAGACACTATTGTTCGAACACAACAGCTAATCATCTTGACGTGTGATTCATGCAGCTATGCCCACGTTCCAGATCTGGTTACCTCCTCCAACACTGGCAGCCGAATGGCTAATCTACCGAAAAGTGGTAGAAGAGTTGAACGGGGAAAAATGAGAAGGCACTGTGGTCTTCTGATGCAGGATGCATGAAAGAACTATACAACTGGCAGATATTGCCGACCGTCACTTATGTACTCCTGTGAATTCAGTAGGCGCTGAACAGAGCTCCAGTCCCTACAAAAATGTTGCGGCTCACAAGTGCCACATCCTTTCAAACGAAAGCCTGAAGCACTTTGTTGGGCATTATTTTAATGCTTGTCTTGAATAATAACTGACATGTACATAGTGGATGAACGTGACCAGATATCTGTTTATTTCAGTCTTCGCGGGAGATCACAGAATTCTATGTTAGCGCGGCAGAAACTTCGCGGAATCTTCGACTTTACTGGTGGAAAACATTTCACCATCGCAAAGACGAGTGTTATTAGCAATGATCATATGCCTGTCGTTAGAATTACAAACCTCCTCATCGCTGCTGTCCTCTTTCGGACGATGCATCAGTGAGGAGCTATGGAGCCGAATCGATGACAGCAGAATGGTCTGTCGTCAACCAGATTTAGTGTCACCCAGAGAAGTCGAGGTTCACTGCGAGACACCAGATTCAGGTCGTATGCCCAACCAAAATTACACTGGTTGCAGTCACTCACCAGCTTTCCGTTTGATAACAAGCTGTGATTCCTAAACACTTGTGCACATGACAAGTAAGGAACCCCGATTCCTTATTGTAACTGTTGGTTTGAAGGTATCAATGGTCACCATTTCAACGGTTTGGTGGACTGTGGAAGCTGTCGCGTTCCAATGTTGCTCGGCGCGGCTATCAGCGTCGGGGTGTCCACATAGAAGCAAACGATGCGTACGATGGACTGGAACTGGCTCCGGACTGCAGTCATCGCCACTGATTCAATGTGGGCTACCTAACTGAAAGGAATAAAAACAGGCACGCTGGGTGCCTGTCAGTCTTAGTTCTAAAGGCGGAGCTTGGAATGGCTCAGTGTGGTACCTTTGGTATTCCCAAGATTCTCCATTGCCGCAGTCAACCTATCGGACTTTCTAATGAGCAAATATAAAAAATGGACGACTAGAATAACTCCGCACGTTGGGTAAAACCAAACAGTGTCGACAACTTTGTTGTGCTGTCGCACTCTTCGGGCCGACTTACATATTTATGTCGGATGGAATACTCCAATGCGATTGGAACACAGTATGCCCATCGTAAGGACTTTACCTCATTTCTATAAAAGGCACACGAGGCGTTGCTCCATGTGTAGACGATTGGCTGCGCTTTCTGAGCACATGACGAGTATGAGAGGCACTGCAACTTCGGTCGTTAACTCTGAGACGATGCTTTATGTGTCACAAGTCGGTCATGTCTGCCCGCGTGTGTACCCAACTTGTGAGATACATTGGTCGGCTGATCGATCGGTGTGTGCGACTTGTCAGTTAACGCCGAAAACCGAAGGTGGACCGACGATACAGTCTTTACAACATCTACCTGACGGTTGAGTGATGAGTACCGAATATCAAGCGGAATGGTCTACTAAAACACCTTAACTCGTGAGGGTTGTTGATAAGACGCCTGCAATGAAAAACATGGAGGATGAATTCATAATGCAACCAGTGTTGCACTGTACCATCTGTTAAGCGTTAGTCAGAAGAGTTATGTCTCTCGTCTACCGTGGGCTGCCTTGCCGACCGGTAACGTAGTGAAAAACAGGACAGAGGCCTGGTTAAAGTGACACACGCAGTTTTGGAGATGGGAATCTTGGGAAAGACTGCATAGGCGGTTTAAGACGTTTACCGGTATGATAAGATCGCGGGGTTAATGGCGCCCCTGTGCCCAGTCACTAACATTCCGAGCTGGTTAATTTTATATCCTTTCCCAGCCCCCTTTCATTCTATTCTACGTCGCAATGGTCACATTTCTCCCACCACCTCTAGTGGACAGTATGCCGATGATGTTACTCATGACAACGGGATTCAACGCGCACTGCTGATCAGACCAACTGAAGGGAAGAACTTACACTGCGCTTTTGATTTAACTTTAAAAGGATAAAAGATGGAACATTGAGCGACATATGTAATGGGATATATATACAAACAACAAATTACAACGATAGAATATAATACAAGAAGGTGAACATCAGAAGTGTATCTGCTAATCTTCATCGGTCTCATCCGATTGCTCGGAAGTACTCTCATCCGAACTGAATACAACGCGACCCTTGCGCCTCGGGCGCGTTACACGGCCATCCGTGTTGGCGGGACCTCGGCGAGCTCTAGTGACGGCGGGCGTGGTAACGGACTCCCGATTGGTTGGAGTGGCTTCACCCTCGATCTCCTCAGTTTCCGGCACCAACGTGGAGCAACCAGGTGGGCGAGCACGACGTATGTTACGCCTCACAGGCTCACCGGCCGAGGGTGTCCGAGTAACACGCGAACGTCGTTTAGTGGCTTTTGCTGCGATCTCAGCTCGACGAAGTGCTTCCTCGTCAGCGACTCCCTTTTGATGGAACTAGAGGGGAAAAGGAAAAATTTAAGAGATAGAAATACGGTAAGAGAAGATCGCAAAAGAGCTGAATCAATCATCTGTAGATACATCGCTATGATATCAAGAAATAGCAAAGATGAAGAAAACGATGAAAAGAATTGAAATGAGAAAAACCGAAAAGATGCAGAAGTGTTAAAGCAAAATATCAACGAGAAGAAAGGCTGTAGAGAACCGTAGAAGATAAACAGACCGTAGAGTAAACAGAAGCTGGACGGCAGTCTCGTCCTATCTGGAACTGACACCGGTGCACCTTCAGCCCATGTTACACATGGAAAGTTAGATCTCATCCCATTAACCTTACGTGCTTGAGACCGCCGGTCCAGAGGTGGGATGCGACGGCCGACACGGTTGCGTGAATGGCCATCGTACGGCGACTAAAGCCATATCATGCAGCCCAGTCGCATTCATCCCTGGCTTACAATAATAGGATCGCAGCTGTAACCCCCACGAAGCGGAGGGGTGTATGATGCATACATATAAAGAAAAAACGAAGAAGTCGTTGAACAACAGTAGGGATTTGTCGGTGCTTTCGATGTTCTCCGAAGCCACACTCAGTGGGTTTGCCCCGTGCACCAATAAAAGCGCTGGGTGAGTTTCATTCTACTAGGAATCGTCGGCAGTGTGTATTCGCCAAATGCTACCGGGTCCGTACCTATGAACGGATTACTAGTTGATATATACACCGACTCATCTTACCCTGACACACATGTGCATGTGCAAGGAACAGAATTGGCCCCCAAAACCACGGCTTTCATTACAAGCCGTACCTCGTAAGTTGTCCGGGGATTACTGACTGAGTCTGGTGAAATGTCTGTCCAATGTACTTTCGGATGTAAACAGTCGTCTGAACACATCTGAGGACTTGGGATACTCTTTGCTGGTTTGTTTGTTCATTTGATCAGGACACGGTCGCACTGATCGAAATTCACATTGGAGCGAATGGTGAATCCAAATGAGAGCGTGCACAACAATCCAGCCACAAACACAAGCGCTGTGAATAAAAATTAACGATGAGTTCGTAACCGCTGTGAGATATATATTATCCCCGATTGGTGGTGGCTGTTCGTGACAAAGGTTCTAGTCGGTAATCTCTAGGTCATGAGACGGAGCCACAATATTGCTAGGTCTACCTAGCAAGTGGAGAAAAGTACGATAATGATGGCGGTAAGCATCCGAATAACCATCTCGCATTGGTCTATTAGAACATGAAACCATTTCAGACTCGTTTTAACATCGCTGTCGTACAGGAACCGATACCAACCTAACCAACTTTGATGATTTATTGAAATGAGTGCAAATGAGCCGATAGTGTGTAGGCAAGTAGAAAAAGCCTACACAACAATTAAGTTTGCCCACCCATCTCAACAATTTAACTGGCCGCGACGATATTTTAAAAGAAAGAGCGCTAGACAGGATGTCAAAGTTAATAAGTGGTTAAAAAGCCGCTTGCAAATCAAATACACAGGGAACGAAAACCAAAGTGGATCCCCTTCATGCCGACGAAGCTCGAGACCTAAAGGCATGTGAACAAAGTGCACACATTTGTTCCGAGTCTTCGGTACGCCCTGCAGCGCATTCAAAGGGCGAGTAAAGAATCCCATGTCGGTAGATGAGCAAGGAAATTGAAAAAGCACACGTAATGATACATACTTCCTTTATTTTGGTCTCGAACTCTTCCAGCCTCGACATGCCATCGGGTTTGGTGAACTTCTTTGCGTTAGACAACACAAATTCAAAGGCTTGGTAAACTTCGGTGAGGCAAAGTTTGTCAGCGAACGAGGGAAGATTTTCATACAGGACGCGCATACTGCGCTCATTGAGAGAGACGACAGTGAGACAAAAAGCGAGATCACGCCACTGACGATGCAACCTAGGGCAAACGGAAAAGATAGCGCCATCAAAAATGACCGTTAGAATGACAACAAATACAAACTGTGAAGAATAAAGTATGGAACGATTAATGCGGAAGGCATTTTGCGTATACGCATGTATGTGGGAAGACAATTTAACAACTGTGATTCATACGCCCAGATGCGATCGATTTGGTTATCATGACTCACGTCGCCATAATAATAATAATAAAATCGAATTCATGGAAAATGGACAAAGAGGTGGAATAGTTAATGGCAGGAAAAGTGGGGATGAATGCACCGGTTAGTATGTTTTCACCACGGCACAGGAAGCGATAGGATATCAAACCACCACTGATGATGTGACTGACCCCGAGAACACTAACCACAAGCACCGGAAAGGTTCAATCTTTCCATGAATACTGAAAATAGAGAGCTAATAGACATGCGTCTGTGTTGATAACCGTAACGAGTTTGAGCACCTGTGCATAGTCACGTCACTGATTCCTGAGTGTCTGCTGCAGATTACAGCTGCGCCACAGCCTATTCGGGTGCGATGCGCTCCTTGTAGCTGAAATCCGCAAAGTGAGTGCTTAGGAATTGCTTGAACTCTGACACCGATTTCGCCTCGACAATTTGCACAGGGAAACAGTTGCAATATTTCATCACTTAGCGCTCGAAGCACAGAGGGCGAGCTATCCGCTTTACGTCCGGTACCAATCGCTTGTACCAGTGCCCGCGAGAATGCGTGGTGCGCGCAAGTGAAGTAGTGGCCTCAGCATGGGGAAGTGACCCAGATGGAATATACGATGCGTCCTAATGAGGTCAACTCTAAACCGACGAGATGACAGGGTGCACAGCCTTAGTCGTCTGCATCCGTCTTCCTACGGCACATCAGCATGAGCGTCGTTATGCTGCCTTGTCATAGCATGAATCGGCAGCATGGGGATTTCACCCTACGTGATAAAGTATTGGCAAATAATTCATGCAGAGGAACCTGATCCATGGGGGTGCGGAGCACACATAACCGAGTAAGTGGTGACGATATGAAAACAACAGGTAATCCGAGATCAGAGAGGTTTGGAAACAATCGGTTGGTAAGGTTTTGCTCTTGAAACAAGAGCTCCGTCAGACCAGATGAATCCGTGTACAATTGGAGCGGGATTTTATAGCGAACAGGGCCGATAACCGCGTTACCAGAGACTTGAGCCAAGGTGTCATTACAGTAAAAGTTCGTGATGCCACCTCAGGTGGTTCAATCACAGTGGGAATAGTCCAGATGTTCCTTTGTGCGCCATGGCATTGACGGATAAGCCCATAGTGTTGACAAGGGGAGTCGGTTTGCACTTTCCAATCTGATTCACGCACCAATGCTCGTCACGCTGGCCGCCTTAAGATCACTCGCCACGCATTAGAGAGTTCCACTCTCTCGTCAGTTTTGGCAATTTCCCTCGCCTTTGCAATCAACCGGTGAGGAGTTGATCGTATACCCCTCCTAATGACCTCTAGGTTTTCCAAGTCTATCTGGTGACCCGTGTCTAATGCATGCACAACCACGGCCGTCTCTTACTATTGCCTGGTATTCAAACTCGTTTCTTGGTGGTCTTGTAATGAGCCTCTTGTGCTCTGAAATTCGTGTGCGCAATTCACTCGCTGTTTGGCCTATGTACACATGTGCACAGTCCTTACCTTTAATTTTATAAACAGTTAGACATCCTATCAATGGGAAGTGGGCCAATCAGGTGTACCAGCGCCAAACGTAACATTCGACCTCGCTGAAAGCTCACCCGTTATATTTTCTTTATTTAGTACCCTCCGAAGTGTCTTCCTTGTACGGAATTCTTACCGTCTCTATTCACTCAGTTGTGGGTCTTGACTGCCGGTTTAGCACTTTATGCAATTGGCGTTTGACTAGCCGCCGCTGGTT